ATGGGACTTGCACTGTTTTCTTTAACTAAAGATCTTTTTTAAAGCCGTGTATTGGTTACTTGAGCACGAAGTGATAGTAACTCCTAGCACTATTATAGGAGTTGATGGTGATCAAATAGTTTGGCTCATGATTTTATTGATGGAGAAGAAGAGCGGTTTTAGTTGTGGGAAAGTAGGGATCTGGTGGTGCTTGGCTTGGCTATTGAAAATGGGAGTTAGAGGGCAGATCAAGGAGAGGAGAAATGTGTGGAAGAAAGAATTAGATAGAAAAAGGAAGCAGTGGTGCTCTACTTGGAATTAGCCAGGTGGTGATGGTTTGTTAGGTCATAATAAAGGGCTAATCCATTCAACTATACAGGAGCATTGATATGGTCCATGAGTCTAGACCCATTAGATAAAAAGTTTAGCATTAGATTTATGAAATGGAATTGGGTTTTTTGGGGACAAGAGATCAGGGAGAGAGAGGAAGAGTTGCATAGGTGTTTCGTGGGCGAGGTAGGGGGGAAGCTGAGCGGGTTGGGGCTCCAAAGGTGGTTGGTATTTTTCTGGTAGTGGGTAGGGAAGAGGTGCAGTTGGGGCCCTCTCTTGGGAAGGTTCTTGTTGGTGATGGACTCAGTGGCGGAGGCACTGAGATTATTAAGTATAAGCCTTGTGCAGTACAATGGGTTAGGACTATTATATTGCTTCGTTGTTGGTGTCCTAAACTTGAGAGAAAGTGGGTATTTAATAGATTTCAAAGTGGGCAGGCTCTAGTACCTATCTCCACCATATGTGAGCGGTTATGGGCTATTACGGCCCCTAGAAGATCTAAGCTCATTGTTCGGCATTAAGAAACCTAAGGAATCTAATTGTTTCCTAGGTAGCCTACAAAAAGGCAGATTTGAGAATTACATGTAAGAGGACTTTTGGTAAGTAATGAGGGGGGATTTGGCCCTCCAGTGATGTCATGATACATGGCATCTCAGAACAACTGAATGATACCTTGGCACCAACTAGGTGATGATTAGCCTTAGCTAAAGTGATGGGGTCCAATCTGGCGACCTGTCTCTGCCACTAATCTAGCAACCTACCCTACCGACCTGGTGGGAACCTTGCTGGTGACCTTGTCCACAACTCGGGGCGGCTTGCAACACCTCGTCTAGAGCTGACCTGTGGCACCTCGTCACCAACCAAAGTGACCTCGATGTGAGGAGCGATCTCCTTCTAGGGCTTGCCGACCTGATTGAGGTCCAAGTAGTGACCTGTAGACGTGCTTGCCAACCGATTCGGCATGCATATCCCAACACTCTCAGGTTTCTCGAAAGTTGGCCCATGTTTTGAATGTTCCGGAGGAAACTGAATAGGGCACAGAGACTGGTCAATGTGCATGGCAATTACCTCAAAGGATTTCAGACCAGTTAAACACGACCTCCCAGAGATCTCGAATACAGTGCATGAAGCCCACGCCAAGCAACACCTATATATAGGCCTCGCCTCCAACCTCACAAAAGAAGAAGGTATGCGTGATTAAGTGCATTCTAGCTCTCTTACTTTCAAGCTTTTAGCTTGCAACTACAACAAAAATACTAATTTAAGCATTGGACTCACCGGGTTAGCCACTCTAGGTTCTCTGATCTGTTTCCTTGCAGTTCACCCATTCCATTCAACAACAGACGTCCGAGCTGCTATTCAGATAGGAGTATCCAGATCGTGCACCATCAATTAGCGTCGTCTGTGGAAACTGCTACAAAAAGCTAAGTTCTCACTTTGTAGAAAGCTGAGTTTTCACCTTTTAATTTCCATTTTTATTAACTCAATGACATTTTTAAACAACACCAACATAAAGAAAAATAAACATATTAATCCTTTATTAATACAATTATGCCATCAAATTTCTAAGTGGTTGTCAAAAGGAAAAATAAGCATTAATTTCTTTGGAAACCTCTAATCGTAGAAGGGGATTTGACTCACTAAGCTTCCTTGATTCTCACACATAAACTAATCATCTTTCGATATTATAGTCTATCATGCAATTTTTATTGCCTAGAGATCTAATTCATAACAATCCTTTGGTCAATCATGCATGAATCATCAAATCATTAAAAGATTGGCCAATTCTATTAAAACAGTAAGCATAGCAATAAAAATTCCTCATGCAAATAATAAAGATCTTGAATTGAATTAAACAAATAACTATATAATCTTAAAATCAAAATCCATCTAAACCCTAGCTAAGAGAATTTAGCTAGATATCATTAAATTCAATATACTCAAGAAAATTAAAGGGGAAACACAGTAAGAACATATCAAAGAATTAATAGAATAACAATAAAACTTTAGCCTTTGAAGGTAGAAGACAAAGGCAGCAACTAAGCCTTTCTCCCTCTTGAATTCGGATTCTTCCTCTCCTTCTCTGACGTGCTGAGACTGATTCCTCTTCTCTTCTCTACTAAATTCTCTCTAAGGATGTGCCCATTTGCCTTGAGTCTATGGTCCTTTTTATAGTGCAGCCTCCCCTYAATTTCTTCTCAATGCAGACTCCTAATTCAACACAAATTAGGTCTCTTAGTCTTTATCTCAGTTGAATTTGTATCTCTTCTGCACTGCCAACTGCCAGACCCGAAACTTGTAGCTCGAATTGCACTTGATTGGCGACAGAATTAGGTTGAGTGATAAACACAAGAGTTGTAGTCCTATCCCTTAGCTTTAATTAGCCATTTGAGTCACCTCCATCCGAGTTGTAGGAAGAAAGTTATACCCAAAATACGGGAACTATATCATAATAGAAAATTTCCCGATACTCATTATTTAAGGATTTTGAAAAATGACCCATGAAATCAATGCCCCGAACATCAAAAAAATCACAAATAATAATATTGTTTAAGGGCATCTCATTTTCCTAGATATATTACCTGTCCGTTGGCATCGATCACAAGAACTTACATAGGCATAAKMATCTTTGAATAATGTAGGCCAATAAAATCCACTTTGTAAAACCTTTGCTGCCATCTTGGATGGTCCATGGTGTCCACTTGCTTCTTTGTTATGGAAAAAACTAAGTATACTCCGCACCTCTTCCTTTGGTATGCATCTTCTCACCATGCCATCTACACAAATCTTGTATAGATATGGTTCCTCCCAAAGATAATGCMTTACATCAGATAAAAAATTCTTTTGATGAAAAGAAATGTTAGGGGGCAACTTGTCACCTACAAGAAAATTAGTAAAATCAGTATACCACGGTTCATCATTATCATGCACAAAAGATAATTTCCCATCAGGAAATTCATCATGCAAAGGGTGTTCATCCATGCTCTCCACATACTCCCCATCCAATCTAGACAAGTGATCAACTACCATGTTTTTGATGCTTTTCTTGTCTTTGATTTCTAGGTCAAATTCTTGCAACAATAAAATTCATCTTATTAACCTAGATTTGCATCTTTTTTAGCAAGTAAATACTTCACTGCATGGTTCTACTTGCATAATAAATCCACATACTTCAATGCAGAATGGTCAGTATAGACAATCACTTTAGACAAGAACAAATAAGGTCTAAATTTTTCAATAGAAAATATTACAGTTGTTGTATAATTTATGTGCCTCATTCATGGTTCTACTTGCATAATAAATGTTATAAAATTTCCTRTCTATTCTTTGTCCTAAAACTGCACGTAAAGTATCGTCACTTGCGTCACACATGATCTCAAAAGGCAAATTCCAAATGGGGGCCGAAATTATGGGAGCTTGGATCAATTTCTATTTTAAATGATTAAATGCATGCAAACAAACACTATCAATCACAAATGGTGCGTCATTCACTAAAAGATTAGTTAGAGGCCTAGCAATTTTAGAAAAGTCCTTAGTGAACCTTCTATAAAAACCTGCATGTCCCAAAAAGCCTCTAACTTCTTTCAAAGATTTTGGAGGGGGAAGTTTCTCAATTAATTCAATCTTAGCTCTGTCCACTTCAATACCTTTAGAAGATACTTTGTGGCCTAAAACAATTCATTCCCTAACCATAAAATGACATTTTTCCCAATTAAGAATAAGGTTAGATTCCTCACATCTTTTAAGCACCAAGGAAAACTATGCAACCATGCATCGAATGAAGATCCAAAAATAGAGAAGTCATCCATAAATATCTCCATAAAATCATCAATGAAATCTGAAAATAGAGACATCATGCATCTTTGAAAAGTAGCAGGAGCATTGTACAAACCAAAAGGCATTCTCCTAAATGCAAATGTTCTATAAGGGCATGTAAAAGTAGTTTTCTCTTGGTCTTCAGGAGCAATGGGAATTTAGTGATAACCAGAATAACCATCAAGAAAATAATAAAATTCCTGACCAGGAAGTTTTTTAATTGTTTGATCAATAAAAGGAAGGGGAAAATGATTTTTTCTAATAGCATCATTCAATTTCCTGTAGTCGATACATACCCTCCAACCTGTTACTGTCCTTGTAGGGATTAATTCATTATTTTCATTTTCGACTACAGTGGTCCCACCCTTTTTTGGCATAACTTGCACAGGACTTATCCAAAAAGAATCAGAGAAAGGAAAGATAATACCTGAATCAAGCCATTTTATCACCTCTTTCTTTACTACCTCTTTCATATTGGGATTTAACCTCCTTTGGGGCTGTACCATAGGCTTGAATTCTTCTTCCATCATGATTTTGTGCATGCAAACTGATGGACTTATTCCTTGAATGTCGCCAATGCTCCATCCAATCGCCCTTTTGTGTTCCCTAAGCACCCTTATCAACTTTTCTTCTTCAAGACCTGTCAAATAAGAAGAAATAATCACAGGTAAGGTAGATGAATTCCCCAAATAAACATATTTTAAATGCGAAGGAAGATGTTTAAGTTCAAGAGTAGGAGGCTTCTCGATTGATGGCTTGGCTTTTAAAGAAGAGGAAGAAATATCCAAAGGCATAAATTTTTCTCTTTTTGTCATGAATCCTCTTTGCTTTTCTCCCAAATAGCCTATGGCCTCCTTATGCTTCTCATCTAAAATTTAGTCATTCACATTAAAAGAGTTAGCAATGCAATTTTCTATAGGATCATCTAACCTAAATGCATGAAATTTTCTTTCTACCAAATCATCAATGCAATCTATCATTAAGACTTCTTTTTCATCATTAGAATGTTTCATAGCCTTAAACACATTAAAAATAACTTCATCATCATTAATCCTAAGGCTAAGTTTTCCTTGTTGGACATCAATTAAAGCTCTTCTTGTGGAAAGAAAAGGTCTCCCTAAAATTAGGGGAATATCATAATCTTCTTCCATATCCAAAACGGCGAAGTCAATAGGAAAAATAAATTTATCTACTTTTACCAAAACATCTTCCACTACTCCCCTTGGAAATTTGATACTTCTGTCAGCCAATTGTAGAGAAATAGTGGTAGGTGTTGGCTCCTTCAACCCAAGCTTCTTGAAGACAGAAAAAGACATCAAATTAATGCTTGCACCAAGATCACATAAAGCCTTATCAAAATTAATTTCGCCAATGGTGCACGGAATAGAGAAGTTCCTTGGATCCTTGAGTTTTGGAGGTAATTTATTTTGTAGGATTGCTGAGCATTCCTCATTAAGTTTTACCATCTCAAACTCCTCCAATTTTCTATTGTTTGAAATTATTTCCTTAAAAAAATTGGCATAACTTGGTATAAGAGAAATAGCATCAAGAAGAGGAATGTTAATATGCAACTTTTGAAACACCTCTAGAAATTTAGCAAATTGCTTATCCAAGTTAGCCTTAAGAAATCTTTTAGGAAAAGGAAGAGGGAGTTTGTATGATTTTAAATTAAGAGTAGAAGAACTTCCCTTTTTCTCCATTGATGACTCATAGTCTCCTTCTTTGGCTTCAAGGTTTCGGCTTTCTTCCTCTTTTACCTGGTCATCATCTTTTTCTTATTTTCTACATTCTTTTCCACTTCGTAGAGTGATGGCCTTTACTTGTTCCCCAGGATTCTTCTCGGTATTGCTAGATAATCCTCCTTGTGGCCTTGTCGAAATTGTTTAAGCAAATTGTCCAATTTGAGTTTCTATCCCTTGAATTCTTGCCTCCGTACTATTGATAAATTTTGCCATCATATCCTCTAAATTTGGCTTCTTCTCTTATGGATTTTGTTGTTGTTGCTGCTAAAAGCCGGTAGGTGCTCTTTTTTGGTTATTACGCCAAAAAAAAAATTGGATGGCTTCTTCATCCTGGATTGTAAGTGTTGGAGTAGGAATTGAAATTGGACCTATTGCCACCATAAGAAACAAAATTAGCTTGTTCAGAAGAAGTAGAAAATGGATTTCCTACTTGACAGTTTACACTAGCGTGTCCCCCTTAACCACAAAGCTCACAAGAAGGGAAGGGAACAGAAGAAATACTTATAGTTGAAACCCCCAAATTTTCTAATTTCTTATTTAATGCAGCAAGTTAAGCTAATAAAGTAGAGATAGAATTAACATTATAAATTCCAACTCCCTTTTTATTTGCTCTCACATTGCCCCATTGATAGCTTTTGGCCGCAATCTCCTCCAAAAGTTCATATGCTTCTTCGGGAGTTTTTCTCATAAGGGTACCACCTGCAATTGCATCTAACATTGAATGATTAGATTGATTAATGCCACTATAAAAAGTGTGCACTTGCATCCAAACAGGTAGACTATGGTGAGGACACTTCCTAAGCAGTTCCTTAAATCTCTCCCACGACTCATATAAAGTTTCATTTTCAAATTGAGAAAAAATTGTTATGTCATTTCTTAATTCAGCCGTTTTAGCAGGTGAAAAATACTTAGATAAAAACTTTTGCACCAAGTCATCCCATGTAGTAATCGAACTTGSAGGAAGAGAGTTAAGCCAATCTTTTGCTTTATCCCTTAAGGAGAAAGGAAATAACCTAAGTCTAATGGCATCATCACTAACTCCATTATGCTTAAAAGTATCACATATTTCAAGAAAATTAGCAATATGAGAGTTAGGGTCATCATTGGGGCCAGAAAATTGCACACTCATCTGGATCATCTGAATAATTGTAGGCTTAATCTCGAAATTGTTTGCTTGCACATTCAGCCTTCTAATGCTTGATGTAGTACCATCCAGAGTAGGTATAGCATAGGAGATCAATGTCCTTGAATTATTTTGGTCTTGAGCCATCTTGTTCTTTCTCTCCCTCGTTCTCTTTTTCAAAGTTCTTTCAATTTCTTGATCAAGGGGTATTAATTCTCCACCACTAGTGCATGTCATGCACGAGGAACCTTCAAAGAAAAGAAAAAGAAAGAGAAAAAAAAATAAAAAATTTTATAAAGCCGAACCCAACAAAAATTGAAATGGAAAATTTTAAATCCAAAAATAAAACAAATAGATGTTCAATCTAAGGCTAATTCAGGTAGTTTTGATATGCAATAAACTAGTCCTCGGAAACGTTGCCAAAAACTTGTTGTGTGATTTATGCATAGTTAATTCAGGCAAGTGTACCTTAGTCAAATGTGCGTATAATGATGAGAAACGTGTCGATCCCACAGAGACTATATCACAGTACCAAATCAATTTTAAACTAACCTAGGTTGAACTTGTGAATCAATTGAATGAACAAAAACTAAAAGAATTAATGCAAATCCCAGAACTTAATAAAAACTGAATTAATGGATGAATGCAGTTAGGGTTTAGATTTCATTAAATCAAGGTTATATAATTATCTATTTAATCCAACTCAAGACTGAAATTACCCTAAGGTATACTAAAGTTACTTGCATGTGATGGTGGATTTCCCTAAATTAATTAATAAGCTTTCTCAAGTCATATTAATCATTTATTAATCCAATTCTGCCATCAAATTTCTAAGTGGTTGTCAAACGGAAAAATAAGCATTAATTTATTTGGGAACCTCTAATCGTAGAAGGGGATTTGACTCACTAAGCTTCCTTGATTCCCATACATGAGCTAATCATCTTTCGATATCATAGTCTATCATGTGATTTTTATTGCCTAGAGATCTAATTCATAACAATCCTTTGGTCAGTCATGCATGAACCATCAAATCATTAAAAGATTGGCCAATTCTTTTAAAGCATTAAGTATAGCAATAAAAATTCCTCATGCAAATAATAAAGGTCTTGAATTGAATTAAACAAATAACTATATAATCTTAAAATCAAAATCCATCTAAACCCTAATTAAGAGAATTTAGCTAGACATCATTAAATTCAACATACTCAAGAAAATTAAAGGAGAAACACAGCAAAAACACATCAAAGAATTAATAGAATAACAATAAAACTTTAGCCTTTGAAGGTAGATGACAAGTGCAGCAACTAAGCATTTTCTCCCTCTTAAATTTGGATTCTTCCTCTCCTTCTCTGGTGTTCTAAGATTGCTTCCTCTTCTCTTCTCTGCTGAATTTTCTCTAAGGATGTGCTCATTTTCCTTGAGTTTATGTTCCTTTTTATAGTGCAGCCTACCCTCAATTTCTTCTTAATGCAGACTCCTAATTCAACACAAATTAGGTCTCTTAGTCATTATCTCAGTTGAATTTCTATCTTTTCTGCACTGCCAACTGCTAGACCTGAAACTTGTAGCTCGAATTGCACTTGGTTGGCGACGGAATTAGGTTGAGTGATAAACACAAGAGTTTTATCTCTATCTTTTATCTTTAATTAGCCGTTTGAATCACCTCAATCCAAGTTTTAGGCAAAAAGTTATGCCCAAAATATGGGAACTATATCAGTGGATTCTCTCCTTCATGGCTACATCCTTGAGCATCATTGTTGCATGATCCTTCCTCTATGATTATCTTGATCAATTAAATCGAACTTCTCCTTAATATTGCACAATTAAGCTCCAAATCATCTTGCAAGACAATTTCATCATAATTAGTGCAATGCCATGCTAATTCCAAAAACATTATTACCCAAAATCATCAAGTTAGAGGAATGAAAATATGTACAAATATAGGCTTATCAAGGCCATCCCCGAAGGTCAAGCCATTCATGGTTCCCATCAAGTTAGAGGTATGAAAGTCATCAAGTCATTCATGAAAATATGTATAAATATAGATTGAATTGCAAAATTCCTTGATGGTTGCATCCCTAGTAAGGTAGATGTCCTCGGAGTGTTAACTTCACCTCTTCTCGAGAGGATGATTTCGCTCGTTCTCCCAAATAATCTAGATGGTGGGATCCTCCTGTGTAAGGCTGCATTCAACACTTAGACTCTTCCAACCTAGGGAGCAAACTAGACTAACACCTACAGATACAAAATCATCAAACTAGTCACTCCGGGCCAAAGAAACAAGCTACTCCCTTCGCTAAGATGATCTCAGCTCGGGTGTGGGGAGCAATTGATGAGGGCGGATTTGGCCCTCCAATGACATCATGATACATGGCATCTCAGAACAGCTAGATGACACCTCGGTACCAACTAGGTGATGATTAGCCTTAGCTAAAGTGATGGAGCCCGACCTAGTGGCCTACCCCGCTGACCTAGTGGGAACCTATCTGACGACCTCATCCACAACTCGGGGCAACTTGCAGCATCTCATCTAGGGCCGACCTGTGGCACCTCGTCGCTAGTCGAAGTGACCTCAACGTGAGGAACGACCTCCTTTGAGGGCTTTCCGACTTGATTGAGGTCCAGGTGGTGACCTGCGAGACATGCTTGCCAACTGATTCGGCATGCATATCCCGACACTCCTAGGTTTCTCGAAAGTTGGCCCATGTTTCGAATGCTCCAGAGGAAACTAAATAGGGTGCAAAGACTGGTCAATGTGCATGGCGGTTACCTCCGAGAATTTCGGACCAATTAAGCACGACCTCCCAAAGACCTCGGACATGGTGCGTGAAATCCATGCCAAGCAACTTCTACATATAGGCCTCACCTCCAACCTCACAGAAGAAGGTACGTGCGATTAAGTGCATTCTAACTCTCTTACTTTTAAGCTTTTAGCTTGCAACCATAACAAAAATACTAACTTAAGCATCGAAGCGACCTCATCGGGTTAGCCACTCTAGGTTCTCTGATCTGTTTCCTTACAGTTCGCACGTCCCATTCAGCAACAGATGTTCAAGCTGCCACCCAGCTAGGAGCATCCAAATCGTGCACCATCAGTAAGCATGTACGCTTTATACTGTTAACTCTAGAATAAGGCTGGTGATGAAGAGAGTTTGATTGAGCTTGGGTGTATTGATATAAGATAAGATTAAGAGGGGAAAATTTTTTCTGCATTAATTTTCGAATGGACAGGAGAGTGTATTATTGTACCCACTTTTTGGATACAAACTTGTGCTCTTTGAGAATCGATGTAAAAACAATAACTTTTCACCTCCATCTCTGACCACGGTGTGGTCATAGCCGAGCTCCGATATTTCTTACTCCTTTCTTAGAGTTGAGTCTTCCCCGTGCTATAACTCTCTCTTCTCCATTCACAATGGTAAATCATCCTTCCCACCACTACTACTCCAATGGCAAATCCACCACTGTAAATCATTTCTAGCTCCACTGCCACCACCCCTAAAGTCAAGTTATTCATCTTTTGCATGAGGATTGGACCACCCCTAACGGTAAAATCCAACCAAATCAACATCCCACAATGGTAAAATGACTTGTTGATGTCCAACCATATATGGAGTTCCAGATCTATGGATCTGACCTTGTCGATACAAACAACCAAATGCCAACAAAAATTCATTAGCGTTTGTATTGATAGGAAACAAACAACATCAATACAAAGTCGGTTGGAAATACTAGACCCACTTTGTATCCATTTAACCGGGTACGGGACAAGTTAATGGTACATATTTGTGTTTATACTGCAACCAAACACAACCTTAGGGGATGATTTTTATTA